AATCAAACATTTAATGAGGAAAAATGTTGTTTACATAATAATCTACAAATTAAAGAATTCAATGGTTACATTATCTGTAAATCCAATATTTCATTGGTATTTTCAGAATTCTTTGCAACTTAAATGCCATACCCTCAGGAAAGTATTTTTAAGGAATGCGATTAATTTAAATGCGATAACCACTCAATTGTACTTCCATTCGTCGTTTACAAAAAAGAAACAACGTCAAACCTTCGTCTTACGCTCCTTTCACACTATACGTTTTCGCTCGTACGAGTGTTAATCGTGCGGGAAGACGGTCGTGGGTCTGTTGCTTTCACACTATACGATTTGTAATCGTACGAGTAATAAATCGAAACCCCCCACTCCACCAGTACAGAGTTCATTGATACTTCAGTGGAAAGTTTTGTGCAGTATGGATCGGGAGCAAATTATTGCTGCGCTAATTATTTACAGACGCAGGAAAAGAAATAAACGCGGCCGTCTGCACTGAGTACATCCCATAAATGTAAAACGTGAAGAAGTGGGTGTGTTTAATACATTATTCGAAGATTTGAGGAACGATGAAGCCAAGTTTTTTAACTATTTTCGTATGTCGAAAGAATCGTTCGACGAATTGCAAAATCTGGATTCAATGCGAAGCATACTTCTTCCCAGGCTTTTCTTGTAGCAATTCTATCTTTGTAAACGTCCAATGTTTTGTCCCATATAACAACTGTTGATTCAACAAGTGAAATTAAAACTTCAGGGTCTATTGCATCCATTTGAACTATATCAAGACAACTGAAACTAATTACAACTGAATAACACTATACTGTGCGCACAGGTAATTAAACTCAATAACCAAACAATTAAACTGAAAAACTAAATAAAAACTATATAGCAAAAACGCTGCGAACTGCACTCGGGGACGGCTCCCGCACGACTAATAACCGTGTAGTGTGAAAAGGGCCATATGGTCACATGGTCCACTAGCAGTAGACACGACTATTACTCGTGCGGGAGTCGGATACCAACCGTGTGCACCTACGGTCGCTACGCGGGTGAAAATCGTACACGGTTTGTAATCGTATAATGTGAAAGGGGGCAAAGGGGCCATAAGCTCCAATGCGATACAACAAATACGACTAATAACCGCACGAGCGAAAACGTATAGTGTGAAAGGAGCGTAGTTACCCATCGTCGACTTGGCTAGATAAGATAACAGATTGCAACAAAGTGTAGATTATACAAACAGCGGAGCGGCCATATTGTCAGAAGATGAAAATGCCAAATCTGTACGACGTCCGACAACCGCCTAGCAACAGCCACTCTCTCTGTCTCTGTCATTCAATTGGCTCACTACGCCAGCACCAGCTGTCCGCGGCGCGGTGTTGCCGCTCCGTGCACTCTGGGAATGTCGACCACTGATTAAATATCCGAAGTGGCAACTGCGCCTCGCCGACGACACAACTCCGGTACACCAAACACCGACACCGTACACGTGATATGTTAACCGCAACTGGATGCTTGTGATCAGTAGTGTATAGTATAAGCAGGATTGTTTAAAATTTTTGAATGATAGGCTAATTGAATAACTAAATTACTTATCAATTATGATTTACACTCTTTGAAACGTACCGTTTAACCTGGAATTTTAATCCAAGAGTTCCTCATTCAACGTGAGTAAGCAATCTCTTAAAAATACCTATTGTTCTTATTCATGTAGGGTTATTGTTGATTTCAAGGACAAACTTGATGTTTGGGGGTTTCCATAGCGTTTCCACGTTATTAAAAAACGACAACATGTTTTCGCTGTATACCGAAGCTTTATATCACAATTATATACATCCGCAAGTATCGCCTAGCGCCTAGCATATTATAATACGGGTTTATTAGTTGCTTTGAATCACGTCGAATTCTGAAGAGAGTTTCACAGCATGCGAAATTAGTATTTATTAGCATGATTTATGAATACTTCGTATACAACGTTTATTTAATCAATCAAATTGAAGGCTCGCAGATGATACACACTACTCGTAGTTACACAATAATGTACTAAAGATAATGTTTGAGGTTTGTGTTATTTATCACACTGAATTCGATGACGAGTGCACTGATTTGGCCGAATATTGCGGTGTTGCCAAGATACTTGGTATAGAGGAGCACTAGGGTATCGTCGGCGTATTGTATTTGACAGTGTTGTGACGACCGAGATAGCGCGTGCGGTGTTGCCAGATCGCCCAGTATTCCTCGGAACTCAGTTTTTGTCGCATTACAATTCTTGCTCACTCCCCTTGTTTGCCCCTAGTGTGTGTAGTGTTGAGTGTACACCACTTCACGGCCAATGGATGGATGGTTCGTATCATGTATTCTATTGTAGGTATTGTCGTTTACTTTGTTAATATTTGGCATTTGATCAGAGTAGGTTGCTTGACATAGTTTGTTAGGTCAAATAGTTTTTGTTGGTCTTTACACTGTGGATTTAAATTAAAATTATCGTGCTAATTTAGAGTGTTTGGTTTCATGAGTAAGACTTGTAACGTGTACTGTATTTATAAATTTAATATTTCAAGCCAACTAGATTTTTTTTCTTTTAGATGTGGCATTTTTTTGCTAGTGACATTTTGTATCTGAGAGCGTGGAACTTTTTTCAGAGCGTGATCCAAACTGGTCTCTGGTACCGCTAAAACTTTTATATGTGTCATATTTATTCCCTCACAGCACCCAGTAGGCTTCATTCACAAAAATCCGCGTGAGGCTATATATGTAACTACAGATATGTTCTTGTTGAAAGGATATGTCAAGAGGTCAGACACAAATCTGTCGCGAAATATTGGCATGTAGGTGTTTGTTGCTAAGTAGGTCAAGTCATTAGCAATGAGGCAACTGAATGCGCCGATTGCGCAGTCCCCGGGTGGGTGAACCCTGTGAAATATCTGTGAGCTCCAATAAATAAATAAACATAAACAGGTAATGTTTTGCCCGAAGTAAGGCAAATGTCCTTGAAATGAGGAATAATGTATTTTTAGAAGAACACCGTGTATGACCCATCGAATAATGTAAAATGCCTCAAATTGTAAACCCAATTGATCTACTTCGAAACTATGGCTTGTCAATCTGGAATAATTCTTGAGATACTGTGTCTATCAGTTATAATAATACATGAACAAAATATATCTCAAATTAAATATTTACGCAATTACAAAATCTTCATCGCGATTTGGTGGAATTTACACTACTATTTTTTTTATTGTGTGAACCACTAAAGAATGACAGGCGACCACCAATAATGGTCAGTGCGGTGCTGTGGCTACAGAGCAAGTGAAGCCTACAGTGTTGCGATGACCTTGGCAGACACAGTCCCGTTACAGCCACATCATCTCCAAGCGTCTGTTGCTATTGACGTCACGCTAAAAACGCAACCATCAATCTGAAAAATAAGAAGGCGATCTACACTTGGGTATTTTTGTGAGTGCTAATTGCGGACGCACTACATCAGCGCTATCGATCTGAAAAAGTAAATATACAATGTGTTTACCCTCACTTTCATATCTCCAGTATTATATACCTTTACTGTACAGTATTTGGAAGTTTAGTGGCTGGCAAATAGTTCATTGCTGTATGCTCAAATCGGCGATCTCCCGTTCTAGCAGCTCCAACTCGTTGATTCAACCATAGCCTCCTATTTAGAGGTGGCTATGGTTCACCATCGATGTATAATAACTCTACATTATACATCGATGGGAGTTATTATACATCGATCGATCGATGCATCGAACGCATTGTGTCAAAGAACCAGGTGGCGCGGTGTGACCTTGCTCTAGGGCGATTTAATTAAAATTGAATCATCGTGTGTCCTTTCGTAGAGGGGAGACATAAGTAAACGCACAGTTCTCGCTTGATACCTTGGTGACTTGGCGGACGTACAGTAGGTGGGCTCCGAACCACGGGGCACGGTAATGGTGATTGACTGAGCCCTAGGGTGATGATGTACACGCGTCCTCGCCAGCACTCATTGTGTTGTTGGTTGTGCGGCGTTGCCAATTCTACACACCTGCGAGACACCCCCCTCCCTACGTCACCTCTTCACCACGAGCATAACCCCGTGTTGAAAGTACAGGGTGAGGCTGTGAAACGGCACGGTTCAAAAACCAGCTGACAAGGAATTGGGGGCAAAACAACATGGTCAATATCGCAATAATAATCTCGAAATAATTCTATTCTAAATTTTCGTCTTGTTTTGGCTCTTTAAACCTATTTATTTCTAAATTAGTTACTCACTTATGGGACACCCCGTATGATAAATACGTTTTCGTAAACTAACAATATCAAAGCAAATGCTCGAGTTTAACCCTCCAAAAGAGCGACTATAGTAGTGGTAGGTGGTTTCTGTAGTGGCGTTTTTGGTTAGATTCAAATACAATTTTGTTTTGGTTAAAAACGTTTGTAAAATGGATTTTGTTTAATAATTTTAGAAAGATAAGATTCTAAACTTTAACTTTGTCACATAATTGAACTTTATCTCACAAGTGAACGAAAATTTCAGTTGCACCGTGTACGCGTCACAAAACTGCCAAACGTAGTTATTTAAAAAAATATATAACAAGGGATATTTTTGGTCTACAAAGAAACGAGTGGTACCACTGCAATAAGGGGAAGAATTTTCCTACTGTATATTATGGTGCAAAAATCATTTTGATATACATGATCTCACAACAACAAAAACAAATCAAGCAATTTTTACGTGTTTGTGAAGTGGCAGGGCGACTATAATAGTCGCAATCGTTTTATTCCCACAAGTTGTATTCACTAAACTATGAATAAAATGACGGTCGCAAGATTTTTACAATTGTCTTCTCGACGTTATTTATAATGCAAGTTTTGTTTGTTAGAACCATGTTGTTAGTTGAGTTAGAGAGGAAATATGTTGATGTCCTATATTTGTATACTGTTGCTGTATTTTCTATGCTGTTATTGAAATGAAATGGTTGTTACTAAACATCAACTGTTTGTTGCAGGTAAGGGAGCTGGATGGTAGCTTTTGTGACAAGGACATGTTGGATTCTGTAAGTTATAACCGTGTTATCCTTAGAATTATTGAGCCCTTAAATATGATACATTTATTTTATGGTTTTTATATTCTATTTTCTGTGGCAATATAAACTTTGGCTAAAATAATGTTTAGGTTCGAGTACAGTAGCCTATTTTAAACGTTGTGTTCACTCTGTAGACGGGATAGAGTGATAATGTTGTAGGTAGATAACAGTTCATTTCCGTTGGCTCTGAATATCAGTGCAACGATGACTACATGCCTGTTTGAGGATGGCTGTAATGTAAATGTAGTGAGATTCCTCGTGTAACTTTGTTACTACTGAATAAAAACAGCAATCTCTTTATCCATGGTCATTGTTAAAAGCTCAATGAGGGATGGTAGCTAGCCCCAGTTTCGAACCATCAATTCATTCCTAGGATGACGATTTCATTGCGATGAAATCGCTTTATTTTCAGACAATTTAATATAGTATGTGAAATATGCCTAAGCAAACCTTAGTATGCTACTTGACTAACTAGGCAGGGACCTAGTTTCAGAGTATTTATTGTAAATAATCTTGTGTAATGTTTTCTATTTCTGAATAAAATTGATTGAATTGAATTGGCTATGATTCCATTGATAACTCATATATTTAAATTTGAGCATTTGCTTCAATTGTTAGTAGAGTCAAAACAAAGACGAAAATTAAGAATACAATTTATTTTTAATGTCTAATTAGTGAGATATCCGCCATGTTGTTTTATTTTGTTTAAAATGTTTTTCTTCAAACGATCAGTCTAAAGATATATTAATGAAATTGGGTATACGATTTTAAAGAGTAGATGCAATTTGATATAAAAAAAACAAAATTAAAATAAATACCTTATTCATTTGGTTTTTAAATGTATTTTGGGAAATTAATTACAACTGGAGGTCGTCCCGTGGTTGAAAAGTTGACCGTAATGTATAGACTTCTCTATTTTCACCCCACATTGTAAATAAAACGTGTGATTAGAATTTCTTCCATATGTTTTGATCTTCTGTTTATATTTCGTCACCAGCATAGCAACCCATAAGGCCAATATTATTTTTTTAAATTCATTTTTGTGCTTATTTTTAAGCCTATTTTATTTATAAAGGGATTCTGCACATTTAAAAGAAAATATATTTCTAACAGTATGCGTAGATTTTTCCTGCGATGCACTGGAGCTGAGGAAAAGGGGTTCAAAGAAACATGCTTGCCTATTAATATATGTATATAGATAGAGTATATAGATCATAATGATATAACAGCTGGCTCCAGTTTGGAACCAACAAAGGTTATACTGGATTCAAAAAGAAAAGTTCACTTGATTCGGCCATTAAATGTTAATGTAGTATGTAGATTTAATTTATCATTCAAATAAAATTAAAATTAAATCGTTTATTCAGCCAGAATTGACAATATTTAGGTACAAGATGTATCGACTAGGTCAGGTTTGGAACTGGTTTGGAATCGTATCAAAAATTTTACCATACATTAAATGTTAACTTTTAATCGTTTACGAAAATGTCATATATCAAAATAATGAATTAAATAACAAACTTACTAAAAGTTGTACCTGATAACCCTTTTATTGAGCCAAATTCCACAGAGACGGTTGAAAGTCGCCAATGTTGCCAACCTTGTTGGCCAAAGTAGGTGACGACTGCCGTGCTGTGGTTGGCACCGCTGTACACAGAGCCAAGGAAATGCGAGCTCAACTCATTGATTTGCTGTGAGTGTGTGTGTGTGTGTAGGTCCTTGTCGTATGTATGTGGTGTTTTTCCACGGGTCACACCACGCCCTCTTACCATACGTTTGCTTTTTCAGCCTGTTAAGACCCATTGGATTAGAAAGGATCTAGGGCTTTAGGACAATGTATGCTCTTAATTTGATATTCTTAGATAAGTCCTCTGTGAGGTATAAATTACTTGACCATTTAAAGCAGGGAGGGATATTTTCGTTACTAAAACAGTTTCTTGTATACATTATATAAATACAGTAGTATTACGGTTTAAAACATTGACTATTGGACACTGTTTAAATTGAAAAATAACATATTTGCATTATGAGATACTGCATCTTTAAATTGTGTATCTCAATGTTAACTACAGTTGCATAAATAATTGCAAATGGTGTGCCATATAAGCGGGTTTGTAAAAAAACTAGAATATTTTATACGAAAATGGAATGGTATACTGTAGTATGATGTTGGGATGCGGGCGTTCATACTTAAAATGCTACGTTGACTGTAAAAAATATTAATATTAGTACTAAGATATGGACTAGGAAGTTTTTCACTTCATCTTCCGGATAGCATATTCCATGGTTATGCATCGATCGTGGATACATTATTAAATATGTCGTCAAAGGAGATTGAAAAAATCCTGTCTTAATCTATCACTTCAAGTAGCTAGTTATAAATCGATAAATACATACTTTGGGCAGCGATATTTGAAAAATGCCTGTATTATCTGAGAATAATTGTAAATAGGTATCTTTTGAAATATTTTGAAAATGTAAACAAATATTATATAGATTTTGGTGTTTTATTTAGTTTTAATCATTATTAAATGCCATTGTGTTTGGCTGGTTTGATGGTTAATTTTAATTATGAATCATGTCATGTTTTATTTTCTTATGCTAGTTATGCCCTTATGACTTTGTTCTCGCTGATTAAAATTTATATTTTTTCAACTTTGCGTAGCATTTCTTTGTTCTAGGCCCTAATTACGTAGATGGCATTTTTAAGAAAAATTATGTCTATATGTTATATGTACGTTTTCCTTAGGTTGCCGTAATTAACTCCTTAACATAATTTTTGGTTTCACTTTCATTTTGTATGTCTTTATTTTCGCCCTCTGTCGCTTTTTACGCTACGTTGAAGTTGTGAGAGTTATCTCACACGATCAACCGCTTTCGGGATTATCCAATTCATTCCACATCTTTATTGACGAAATTATTATTACGTATTTTGATTAATATATCCATAGCTTAAACCAGTTTACTTTCTAAATTCTGTAAATATCAATTTCATGCAATGTGTACTTGTCAATCTTTTTGTTTAGCGTTTGAAGCGAGGATTTAAATGAAATTCAAACTTAAACAACCTTTATTGAAAAAATGTCTAGTGACTTAGAGGAAAAATTTATTTTTACGGGAAATATAAGTGTTGGTCTGAGGCTAGTTTTAATTAAACAATATACATTTTTGATGTCATAAATTATGCGGTTTATTCATGCCATCTTAGTAACTCTCGTTTGTATTTGAGTGAGGTACAGTTATTATACAGGCCCTTAATGACAATTTTAACATAACAGGTTTGTTATTATAATAAAAACTTGATTGTTTTTGTAAGTAAATTCGTAGATATTTGTAGCTAGATTTAACTCCTGCGGCCCCCCATGATTGAATTTTATTTATATGTACAAACTAACTTTGTGCACAACGAACAACTTTAACAGTAGTGTATTAAAACTCTGCAAATTTACTCAGCAGTGTCTTTAACAACAGCTTGAAATTGTGTAGTGAAGTTTAAACTCAACAAAAGATATGATTTTCATCTATGTGAAGTATGTGTAAGTAAATCTCTGTGTATAGTACAACTAGTATATCGCAGAGACAGTATTTTATATGCTATTTCAGTGTATTAGCTGTGGATATGAGTAGACATTCCATCTTCATGTTAGAATCTTTGTCAGTTTGAAACAAAATTGTACTTAAAACTGAGTCACTGACAGAGTATGCTGATGATATTGACTGCTCATTTCTATTGGATCCACAGTCTGAACCAAGCTAGGCTTGATAGAAAACTGATATGTCAGATCAACGATCATAGAATAAAACTCTAAAGGGATAAAGCTTAATTTTGAGTTTAGTACAATCTGTTAAACTTTAACAGTTAAAGGCTCATTAACCTACTGTGGTCTATCCGAAGAAATGATTGGCTTCATATATAGTTTATTGATAGTATTTTATATAGTTTTGATTGTTGAGATTCAACTGTATTCCTTTAAAATGTCGATTGAGATATAACTTTTTCTATTGCAACGTTAAATTACGCCGTTTATTCAATGCAAAGATCACACGGTAGGCCTACTGTGTTTTGCTCAGTTAGTACAGGGTTAGGTTCGTTGTATACCCCATCTTAACTTTGCAATGGATTGCACCTGGGAAAAAACGCTGCACACCTCTCTATCTGGCTGAAAATTGTACTGTTTTGTTGTAATCGCGATTTTACCCGGTACCCTTAAAATGGGGGATTTTGTGGTCAGCTTGAAAATTATAATGGTAAAGCCCCATCTTGTGACACATAAATTTAAAGTACTTTTATAAAGAAGAATATACACGAAAATTCGACGGTTCTATCCCAACCCAGTACATACAAGGTACTTTTTAATTATAATCATTCCGAGGGAACCCCACAGAGTTTAGTTTTTTCTGTGTATGTATCCACTGGCCTGAAGACACAACTTGTCTATAGACGGGTTGTCTCTGTAGGAAAGTTCCCGCTGTTTGTCGGCGACGGCGATGGTAGCAGACGCATCTGTCACGTGACCGTGTGTGACGTCACTGATAACACGTCAAGGTCATGCCAATGACACCTCTCACGTGGACCATCGTTGCATCCATGTAGGAATTGTGTTATAATAAAATTATACGTAGAACACGGTCGTCGGTCGTGGTATGTTCGCTACACAAGTGATTATAGTACATCGGTGACGGCTGAGGGTCAGGGGAAATTGTGACTGGTTCATCTATTTTGGTTATGGATTTTATTGAATCTGCCTTAACAGCTAACGCGCAACGTAAGTAACGTATGTAGTAGTGTGTGTCTATGTGTGTGTGCAGTATTTGCCTATTCAACATAACAAATTTCTAAACGTTGTAAAATTACGTTATTCGCAGGGACTTGCAACTCGTGTAGGTACCAACGAAGGTATAACTACTGCTGTGCGTGTACTTGTCTATTGTGTTAGTACCGTAGTTGTTTATTCTAATAATAACGCGTT